GGTTTGAGTTAGATCGAGCACTCAGTAAGCAATGTCATTAGTAATTTTCCCATTATCAAACCGTTATTCGTATCACAATAATTAGTAAGTCACATAAGAATGACTGGCCAACAGAACACACGGTGGGGAGATTCGCTGATCGATTTTGATTGTGGATTATATGTTACGTTCTTATTTTCAAATGAAGAATGACAATGATTTGGTGGTAAGCAGTTAAAATGTTTTCGGCGAATCTCCATGGCCGTCTAGTTGGCATAGATTTTCGCTACCCGTCATAAAGAAGGCATTTATCTCAGTTCGGTTTTATTCTTTTATTCCCCACATCAGATAAGTAAGTACTCGTCACATAAGTGGATGTCTCTACTTATTTATAATTGTTAGATGACTATCGCGATTATTAAACAAACGAGAATATTCAGATGACACTTAAATTGTAACATCAAATCTTACAGGTGGTGGCTGCGAAAATGAATGTGTGGAATGACGTTTTGAAGTTAACTTTGAGGATTAATTCTGTAAATTTACTTTCAATGTAAAAGATGCAGACTTCGACTGTCTGTGACGCATAATGTGTCATGAGGTGAGTGAGCTTTATTTCTTCTTCTTCTTCTTAGTTTCATCTTGACTGTTTCTTCGAAATAAAATACGCAACTGAGTGAGATACTGTGTAGAATTGGCTGGGAAGTGACGGGCGTAGATCACATGAATCAGTTATTAGTAAAGCAGAATTGTATGAAACAGTCTGTTTCATTATTGAGAAGTGAAGTCCTCTACACAGAAGTTTAACTACGTTTGCAATCAGGAATAAAGGAGACTATAGAAGCAGAAATTGTCTGTACACAATGTCCGGATATCTTCATCGAATACCAATCAACATATATTGTGCCACATTTTTCTATATAGGAACACACTGTATTATTGGCATCACTGTCTAACAGCATCATCAATAATCATAACATCACGATCGGGCTGATTCACAGAAAAGCAATATCTGTGTCATATCGAGCCTAATCGTTTTCAGAAAGTAGTCGGTGTGTATTAGCTCAATTTTCTTTAAGACTGTATAATTGATAGCCTGAAAAACCTGAATGGACACAACGAAACAACGATTCTATGAACAACGAGAAGAATATATAAATAAAAACTCACGCCGAATTCTTCTTTCTAATTATCATCAGTTTCAGAAGTAGGAGGAGCTGACACAAAACAAATTCAACAGCATAGATATTAATGAAGCAGCCTTATTCTCAGTCAAATCATCGTATATTACGGGGTTTTAGTTGCAAATAAAAAGAACATGCAAGTGGTATTCATTTGAAATGAAGGATTAAATGTTTTTACTTCATTTGCATTAAGTTTTGAAATTAACTTCGTGACTGCAGACTAATGTTATCTAATGTTTCCCCGAGTTCAACATGGTCGTGCGCGGAAATAACGTGTGCACGCTGGCCTCCACATTAACACATAAGCCAGCAAACTGCCTTTCACGAAAGATAGTCTTGTGCGTGTACCGGAATCACGAAGTAGTATGTCCAACCAAATAATCGAAATCAATCTCCTGGTGTGTGAAAACTGATCAAATCAAAAAAGAGGCAATATTCTCATCCTAAGCTCTCATACAACTGCAAGCTCCATGTCAATATGTGAAGATAAATTTGGCAATGCTACACTCAGAGACGTTATCTCATCGTCAATTCTGAGTACTTGGAAACCACTCAAAACGTTTGTCCAAAGATTTCCCTGATAATTCTACTGAAAGCAGGTATAAAATGTCTGGTGAACATGCAATAGTAAGCCGAGATCAACAAGCCTTAAATGTAGATATACATATTTCAAAACAATTTCCTACAAAACAATAGTGAAAACAGTATGATTTCGATCATCCTCAAGGTGGAATATAAATGAATGTGTGTGTGTGTGATATTGGGAAACATTCTACGCCTCTGCTGTCGATGCAGAGCATAGATGTTTTTGGCATGAACTAAAACTAATAAAATGTAGGTGAGTCACTTGGACATAGGTGAAAGAAATTATCATATTTAATGCAGCTGCAACTTCAAATGTACAGATTGCGAAAGTGTTGAACGGTTGAAATGAAATATCAAAAATCTGTTGATTAATTTTCGTAAAGTTATATTTCTCCAATCATGATGCAGGCATATATTATAACCAGGTGTTCCAAATAACATTAGAATGGATACTAACGCATATATTCTGCGTGAAATGATTATAAATTTCATGATTGGACCATGAGTCAGACACTTATTTGCAGAGCAGATAAGAAGAATAGATTACCGCATCGAATTGTCAATATGGATGTCTTAGCGTGAGGTTACCTGACAACTACTACATTCTGTTTGAATGTCATACAGGCTAAAGCTGAGTATAACTCAAATACAATGTCAGATTTTCAGTCTTTATTAATATACATGAGAACAAATGAATGAAAAAATGAGAATATTTTGTGCATTATAATATTTGTAGGTTACTGAAAGTGAAAAATTCAAATTTACCTTCTGACTTTTCATCGTCTTCATTATGCACTGGTGGTTTTGTTTCTGAAATTGTTTAAAAGAGAATGAGAAAATTCGATTACATGATTTAATAGGTAGGATATGCGTTCGGATTCAAACCGACTTTGAAGTATGATGTAAAACATGTCCATCATTGTGTCAGAATAAATGTAACCAATCTCAGTGGGAAAATTATGATTGGAACTGCTTCACTGAGTCTTCACTATTCGACACGCCTCAGAATCAACAGAGATATCAGAGAATCTATTTTGTGTTTCTTAATCACAGTGTAAATATCATTCTGTTCTAAGATGAATGATAATGAGTTTGTTCATAAGTGGCAGGTTTCAGTAATATATATATACCTTTGTAAATTACCCTGACTAATAGTGAAATAGTTTGATGGAATGCATGCTCATTTAGCTTACGCAAGTCCTCCGAAAGAAATAGATGTGTATGTGTGTAAATACTTCGTCTGAGTTAAATCTGCAACGACACTGGAACTACATGGAATTATTTCACATCAACATTGACGGTATATGTCCAACTTCTTCCTCCTTATCATAACTGACAAGTACCAATTTTTTTTTTTATACGTGAGGATAGAAGTTGGACGCTGTTGCCTTCATTATTCCAAGCGAATATCAATGAATGTGAGAATGGAAATACTGTGTTCGTGACAATATTCATGGCATAAATAAAATGAAATTTATGAAATTACCTTCTTCACCTTCATTTTCATCTTCATCGTTGTCATCATTGTCTTCGCCGTATTCATCACCTGTGGTTGTTGATTATATTTGAAAGAAAGAATAGGATGTGATTGAATTTCATGAAGATTTATGGTAGGAGTTGGTTTGAAATGGAACTTAATTTTGATAAATTATATGGATCTATGATTCATTGTGTGAAACAAAGAGAACCGAATGCAGTTAGGTATTTCAGAATTCGTATATATTCACCGTCTTATAACCAAAATATTTACCCTGAAATTTTGATTTAATGCATGCATAGTTAGCACAGGTAAGTTTCCCGAAAGAAATAGATATATCGTCGGAGTTAAGTCTGCAACGACGCCGTATTACATGAAAGTATTTTTCCAACTTCTTCCACCTTATCATAACTGACAAGTAACAATGCGTTGACAGATTTCTTCTATTTGTTTTTTTATACGTGAAGATAAGAGTTGTTAATGCTTATCTCACAGACGGTAACAAATCGTCGACTCGTAATATATGCAGACTGGCCGCCTAATTAGTCATGAGTTTTCTCATGTGTTTCCTACCATCTGGTACACACGTTTTCATCATTTAGTTCGAAGCAGAGAGTGACAAAGCTTAAATGTAGATGCCACCGCCTTTATTATTACATACGAATATCAGGAGCATTTAGCTAGAATATAATTATGAAAAGAGTAAGTATGTTTTCGATCATCCTCAAGGTGGAATATAAATCAACAAATGTGTGTGTGACATTACCTTCGTCATTTCCATATTGATCTTCGTCACCGAGACCTGTGGTTTCTGCTTCTGTTGGGAGAAAAGAAAAGAAAATACCGAAGGACTTCGTGAATAATTATGAATAATGGTGGAAGTGATTCACACTGAAAAAGACTCGTGAACAGTCAGTCTGACAATTGGCATAAATCATGCAGACAGACAGACAGAGGGAAAGAACGAAAGAGAGAGAGAGAGAAAGACTGTGAGAACCTGTAGGACATTTGTGTTTCGAACGTGGATGCGGATCCGCACTGACAGAGAAATAAATGAAGCAACCAGTCTTGCAGTTCACCCTCACAGTGCACTCGACAAATTCATCTGTGAATAACGATGAGCTGTTTATTTGTGAGGGACACGTTGGCTGGTTGCATACTCACAATCAGATGTATGAAACGATGACTATGACAAATCGAGGAAATCCAGGAACAAAAATCTAGCATCAGATTTCTCGGAGAGATAGTTTCGAAAGACTATATATATTTGGTGTGAGTGAATGCTGAACTGATGTTGTTTCGCCACGTTGATAGGGATGAATTTGATATTAATATTTTCCAAGTATTCGTGCGATAGCACGAATGTGTTGACCAATTTGATCTAAGATAAAAATCGAATGCATCTAGACCGCACTTTACTGGAAGACTCTTCCTATTCATTGACTGAGATATTTCCAGCTCTCAACTGTATCTAGTTTATTCAAACAAATATGATGTGTAAATATACGCCTCAGATTTCGTTGTGGGTCTTGTGATTCCGTGGTAATGGGAGTAGAAAAGGATGTCATATTGTCCATTAATCGATGCCTGTGCATTCAGCTGCTTTATACATCACACGTTCTTGTCGTCGTGGTGATCAAAGCTCAGGTTGACTGGAGTTCAATGTGGTTGCTGTTGATTTTATTATCGTTAATACAATTCAGTGTGTCGAACAGTGAAATCTTTTGCATGCAGGCTACTCTTTTATTTACTAAGATTCAAAATTTCGAAATTACCTTCATCCATGTCTGGTGAAGCTGTTTGGATAAAAATAAAATGCAAATATATAAACAGCGAGAATATTTGAGCGAGGAACTGACTAGTAATGAAAGGGAATCTTGTGTGATCTGCAACAGTGAGTGCATCACTGAAGTACACAGATAGGTGGAGATGCAAGGGCACATGTGAAACTCAACTTGCTACATCACGATCTCGTAATTCTACAATTCACACAATATTTTGATTGAAATTGAGTTGTCACCTTTTTATCGATATGTATATCTTCAATTGTATTTTTTCCATATTTGGATGAGTTGAATCTTATCTCTCAATATACAAGAATTACTGGGACTCTTTGAATACTAATGTTTTCCAATATTATCTATTTCCACATTCGTTAGTGTTGTTGCTTATCTACCAGTGTAGGAGAAACGCTTGTACATGTGTATTGATTACTGCTTCTGAAGCGAATATGTTTTTATTCATACTTTGATTGATAGCAAATGCCTAATGATGCTGCATTCAGTTGAAATATTGTGCTAAATTCATTGTTTGTGCTCGCTTATTGTTTTTTACGTATATGAGTACGCTGACGCATTTTATCGGGAAAGAAGCTTCGAGCAACAATTTTTACTTAGAAAGCTGATGCCGATGATGGCGACAATGAAAATAATTTATGCGTTTAATTTTCCTCTATCGAGTGAGTGAAATGTTAGGTAAAAGTTTTTTGGGAATGCATTGGCCTAATTCAGGTTTTCCGAATAAATGGATTCGTATTGGTTAATAAATTCAGTTACAGTGAAAGCCTCGGTCATGTTTCATTAAATGGGAATATAGTGACAAGATTGTGATGCGTTTCTATCGACTTTTCCATTATTCGTTTTGATGCTTATCCTAATCATGTTTGCTGCCATATCTACAGGACTGAGTGATCCTATCCTGTACTCATCTGTGGTTTATCTCTACATTCGGTCGACGTGTGAATCTGCTGGTTGAAATAGAAGATGTCATTCAACAGGTGAGGTTTACGACCCGTAGTGTGAAAGTTGTCTTGCAGACTTCATGCCTTACAAAATTCAAAGCATTCGCTGGGGTGAGGTTCATGAGGAGGCCAGGTGAGATATCCTGTGAAGATAAAGTATCAGATGAATTTCTAATTATTCTTATCTGCCGGTTCACTCAATTGATTGACGGTTGTGCAGCAATATCACCAGGCAGTTGATTGTAAAATTATACTACCCTTTGCTCTACATGACTCAAATTAACATGGAATTCTGTAAGAGAGCCAGTAAACAAGTGAGTTTGAGCAAGCACTACTGATTCGATGACTTAGCTCGGATACACTCAGAAAGTCTCCTGCATACTGCTCTTCACATTCACCAGCTAACCGTAAGACTGTCATTCATAAAACATATTCAAGTCTGTGTCGTACTCGCGAAGCAGTAAAATACAATAGATTTTCGTGTCAAATTGCAGACATAAATGTCTCAGTGTATTTTGAGCTGCAACACACTGCTTCACTGACATGCACGCTAAAGCTGAGAGTGTTTTGAGAAAACGTGGATTTTCTTGTCTTTATTGATTAGTACATGAAAATGAATTAATCAGTAGTTAAGAATATCTTGTTCATGATGATGTTAATAGTTCAATAAAGTTGAAAGCTTGAGAATTACCTCCATGCTCATTTTCTCCTTCTTCCTCGCCATTCTCTAGTGGTTTTCCTGTTGCTGAAATTGTGTAAAAGAGAATGGGAGACAACCAGATTACTTACTTAATGAAGGAAGACATAAATTTACAAATAGACTCACTTTTGAATATGACGCAAAACATATGAGTTATAGTGTCAGATAAAGAGAACTGATTACAGTGAGATCTTTCGTATTCACATTTCTCAGGATTAACGACAAAGCGAAACAAATTATGCTGCTGGAAGGAATAGATGCGTGTGTGTATAAACACTTCGTTTGATTTAGAACTGCAACGATGTTGCATTAAATGGAATTATTACACATGCTTATGCCATATTCGCAGCTTCGCCTTATCCATCCTACCGAACGATTTTCAATGCGCTGATTGATTTTCTCTAGGGCAAAACGCTTGAATGTAGTATTCATTTTTTAAATTTTTATTGCAGCTTGACTCCACACAGTATTCATGATACAAGTATGGAATATTTAGCATGTTATATTGGTAGCCTGAATTTAGTAGGCCAACCATTGGTATCAGGTGTGCGTCCGGCGGAGGTCGAATCCCGGAACATGAGTATGGTCGTCGAGTGTCCCAGTATGCGTGAAGATAAGTGTTAGCAATGCTTCAACCACAAAGCTTTCCTCGTCATCACCTCCGAATGCATGCAACGAAGAATTAAGAGCGGTGCTGACTAATCTTTCTGTATGTCGGTTAGAAGCATTTGTCGAATTCGCATTCATCAAGGAACGTGAATTGAAGTAATCTTCTGCTCATAAATCTAGATGATGCGAAGGCTTCTTGAAATCTCATTTTGCAAGAATTCATCGATTAAAATAATTTCTTGTTGGTAGCTTGAGTAAACTGAACGCTGGAATATGGTGTCCAGAGGACATTTCTCCTTCCCCTATGTAATTGAACAGGTTCCAATTACATGCACCTAAATATCTTGCTGAAATTACGTGAAGTCAATACATAGGAGTGATCTCACCATTTTGAAGGGATTGCGGGCTTTTAATGGACGATGGGTGGATAGACGGGAGCAGGGATAAAATGGCACAGATAGAGGAACCATGAATCGACTGTCTGATTACTCCAGTCTGTTGTCCAATGCTATCGCTTAATCACTGGCAACGTCAAGAATGACCATAAGTAAAGTGATGCAATAGTGTCGGTAAATAGTTCAGTCTAAGACAATAACACCCAGTCTTCTGCGGGACATTGTTGCGTACATATGGACGTATCTCTTTTTTGTTGATGTTCACTTTCACGAGTAAACCAACAGGCTGTCATGTTTCATACATGAAATCAAGTCTTTGGAATAATCGCGATGTAATATGAAAGAGATGATCGGATCAGTCTGACGATAAGCATATCTGAGTATGGCTTCAGCTAAAAGCCATTGTACAATGAAAATAATCAAGGGCGTTAAACCAAGTATGACGGGTCTTGTATGTGGATGGTGTAGAATTCGTCGTCCGACATGAATGTCATCATTTAGGATAATTAAAGATGGACGTTGTGAAATTACCTTCTTCTCCCTCTTCATTTTCTTCGTCCCCACTAGTGGTTCCTGATATGATTTGAAAAGAAATAAGGTTCAAATGGATTACCTGAGTAATAAAAGTGAAAGTGATGCACAGTGAGATTGACTCCCACAATGTCTGCTCATTGTAAGCATGAATCGTGCAATCAAAAGTATGAAGAACGGGATTCTGCGGAATATTTGGGGTTCCGTGAATTGTTGGTATTAGATGGTTGAAGGCAATCGGCAGGAAGCCTTAGACATAGGTTTCGTACTAGTTGGCAATCATCAGCATGGCGTATCTGCAACATTGAAGGAACAGCTGTCCCTTCTGAGATTCAAACCCGCATCACCCAGTGCTGCAGTCAGAGACTTTACCACTGAGCTATTCAGGCTCGCGACGGACCTCCTGCAGGACTGTATTGGATATTTTTTTGATTGCACACTAGTCAGTTACTAGTCAGTCGCGTGCGTTAATAGCTCCTTAGCACCGAGTGATGCGGGTTTGAATCTCAGAAGGGACATCGTTTCCTTCAAGGCTGCAGATACGCCTTGCTGACGAGTGCCAACTAGCACGAAACCCAGGTCTAAGGCTTCCTGCCAATTGCCTTCAACCATCTAATACCAACAATTCACTGTACATCGTAATGGCAAGCCACTTAGCATGGTGGTCACGTTGCAAACATGACTGATAGAATTCAGTCTGCACGGAAGATAGGACTAGACACATTGCACTAGTTACTGACTAGTGTGCAATCAAAAAAGAAAAAAATATTTGGGGTTCCACCTGCTGCACTGTGTCTTCAAAATTCCTCATTGAAGAGAAGCGAGGCAAAACGTCTTGAAATTCCATATTAGTTTGTTTATTAGGTATATCACACAGTGAAAGAGTATTATTTACTGGATGACGTTTCGAACAAAATTTATTGTTCATAATCATATCAATTGATATGATTATGAACAATAAATTTTGTTCGAAACGTCATCCAGTAAATAATACTCTTTCACTGTGTGATATACCTAATAAACAAACTAATATGGAATTACTTACTACCACAGTGCCCAAGTTTTACACATATATTAATATGACTTATGGTCTTCCTGTACGAAGACTTATCAAAAGACGTCTTGAAGTTAACTTCACACTAAAAATAAAGATTTCATTAGTGAATAACACTGGGTGATTATGTTCATAGGCGAAATGGGTTAAGAGACTGTCACAGTTGAGTGCATAAAATGATGAGTATTAGAATTGAAGAAATGCGAACACATCTAGCTAATGAGAGATGCTCTAACGAGACAAACACGTTGAGGTATATTTTGTTCAGAATGAAATCTGGAGTGATACTGCGCCGAATGTAGGTATATCGCCTCAATTTCGACGTTGTATTTGGTGAGTGTGACATAAAAATTCTAATGAAAGTTCGAAACATTAGATGCGTTCACAGAAGAGTTGGTCTTTTCAGTGATACCTTCCCCACATTATATATATATATATATATGCGATTATACAGATTACAAATGAGATATATGGAAAGTGTACCTCTTCACTGATAGACTTCAGTGTATCATACATATTTTCTAGTCTGAATTGTAATCACAAGTTCCTTGGGATTACAGTATCACGTCAAATTGTTTATTCATATTTGGTTGTGAGTTCTGCTGATATATAAATTACACGTTCTCATCTTCGTTCGCCCAGACTTTAAAATGGAAGCTGTTTGTTGTGATACTGTTATGAGAATTGAAGTGTGGGGGGAACAATGAAATAAATTAAATGGAGTCTACGTTTTAATTTAATACGAATGAACATTTTGAAATTACCTTCATCCACGCTTGGTGAGTCTGTTTGAATAAAGAACAGAATGCAAATATATTGAAGAAGAGATTATCGATGTAGGTAAGTCACTTGAAACTAAACAGACTCTTCCATAATTTGCAACAAGGGTGAAGTACACTGATCGATAGAGATTTAAGAGGACATATGAAACTCAACTCGCTACACTATCCTCATAATTCTACATTTCTTTGCATTGAGCAGTGTGGCAAATACACTGTCTTATGGTGCTTTGCACATTGAAATTATATATTGTATATCTCAGTAACAGTGAACATTTCATTTCAAACTTATATGCGTGGTGCATCTATTTTCGCTGTCTGGTGAAAAATAGTAATACATGTTTTACGAGTTGATCACGGACTGATATCAGTTAGAGAACCATTGAAAACCAGGGAGTACTGGACAGCTGCTGTTTCATCCTAGTTTGGGAATCATCGGCAGTACGCACCCACTGGGATTCGAACTCAGGACCTTCCGGTCACAAGGCAAGCTCGTATACCATTCAGCCACTGTGACCCGATTCAACGGCTCGTAAAACATAACTAATCCTTACAAACCAAAACTGTAAAAAGTAATACATGTAGGATTTATCTTCATGGTGCTTTCGAAAGAAAAAAATTCGTAAAAGGTTACATACTTAGTGACTCTCTGATTGTGTCGCTTTGAATGGAAGCATTTAGCTACATATTCTGTTCATGTTTGTTCATCTAACCTCACAGGTATCATTGTGCTGGCTGATTTGACCTAGGAAAAATTTTACAATTTGTATCTCTGCAGCTAAATGATGACAATGACAACGAAGACAATTCCCTGTCATGCACATCAACTTTACAGTTAATATAACAATTTGACCTCTGATGAATTAGTCTCCATTTGCTTATAAGCAATATGTCAGAAGTTTAGCTTTTCACCATCAATTGAGTGGAGTACTAAGTGTGGAAATTAATCAAGCACGTGTAGATATGAAGAAATTCTGAAGTAGAGGCATGCGTGTGGACATAAGCATTTGTTCAGTTGAAAAAGTGCACTGAATAAAATTGTTTTGTCTTTGTTTTGATATATTTTCACTGATTTATCGAATATATTTGATGCTAACAGTCATCGAATTCCCTCCGTCTTGTAAGTGTTAATTGTATTCATGTTCGCTTGTAAATCTGGAAGATTGAATAATTTCGTCCACGTGCATAGTTTCCCTTAACTTTCGGTCGATCGTTTGAGGAATTTGTAGTCAGAGATGTAAGACGAGAGGTATTCCACTTTCTAATACGTCATTCAACATGTTTCACTAAGAGGTAGATGGCTATTCCATAAGCATAACGAGTGGTAAAATGATAAGCTCGCAGATTTCATGTAGTAGGAATTTCAGATCTTCACTAGAAAGAGTTCCAATGGATGTCAAGTAGAAATACTTGGAATAGAAGAATCATAATATGACTGACTAAGTATTCTATGTATACCTTATGCTGTCGCTTGACTGATGAAAACGTCGAGTGTGACTAAGACAAATTCATTGTGAGAATATCAGTGGAGAGTTGACTGTAGTTCGACACTACAGAATGTTGGGTTGTATACACAAATTATCCCTTGAATATCGTTCTTCGGTCTCACTAGTGAGCCAGAAGACGTTCACTTTTCATCCAAATATTCGAGTTCATGTTATGATCCTGAGGTGTTATGGATAATATCTTCGTGTCGAATAGTTAAGTTTAAGTGTGTACTTCCGAAACTGTGTTCAGCCGATAATTGAAGTTTACTCTCTTTATTAATGGATATGGAAATAAATGCAAGTAAGGATCACAATGTCTTATTTATGGTGTTTACTGTTTATTTAAGAGGAAAGTTTCAAAATTACCTTCTTGCCCTTCTTCTCCACTGTGAACTTCATGATCTGTTTCAGAAATTGTTTAAAAGCGGAATGAGATGAGCTTGAACTACTTGCGTTAGCAAGGAAGAAACATGTTTGCTATAGAACTGATTCTACTATATTATCCAAACATATCAACCATTGTCTTAGAAAAATAGAGCATAACATATTCGAACGGCTGTGCTGAATCTTGTTAATTCTACCTGCCTCAGAATCATGTTTTTATCCACAGATGATGATATTCAAATCTTAATGCTACTACAAAGAGTACACATCATCGACTAAAGCAGATGAAAACATGAATATCCACACATAAGTTTGAGGTACATCTTTATGTTTCTTTCAACCAACTAGTTTTCATGCAAATAAATGACACCAATTTTCAACTATATGGTCCTTACAAGTTAAAAATGACATTTTAAAATTACCTGCGTTGGTGGTTGCTGGTGGAGCAGCTTCAAAAGGAGTTGAAGTTGTAGTTGAATTTAATAAATATTAATGTGAGAAATAAACTTGCAATGAAGCTATCATATATTGTGGAAATACTTGCAGAGATAAGGTGACTCAGTGGAACTATTCAGATTCTTTCTAATTTGCTAGTGCTTCACAAACCGATGCACCGCAGCATTGACAAAGAAGATAAACATACTGTAATGCATTTCATCACAATATGGGAAATAACAGTTTGATTCGCACTGACTAATCATCAACTTGTGTATAAATGCTGTGTTGGGTAGATATATTTCCAGCGAATAATAAGTGAAAGGTTTTATAGGGAAAATGTAGAAATGCATTGACTGTCAGCTTACCTGGACCTTCTGAATGAAACATATGCATGAGATTACATATTCATTTTGCATAAGTACTGCATTAATGTAGAAGTGTATGAAAATTTTTAGCCTTGACTGGGTTGCTTTATTTGGTTCTTGTGCTTAACAAAGTTGGATGCACCGACTGATCTCCTTTAGTGCAAAACTTACAAAGTAACCAGCAAGCTTTCTCTCACAAACTCGTCCTAATCATTGCCTCTGAGCTCCTGAGTTTGTGTTTCTCTTTTTTTTCTGGTCACTTCTGAACCAGTCAGTATTATGTTAATTCTTTTGACGTGCTCAATTATTTTATTACTTTTGTTTATTTATGTCGTCTTCATCGGTTTTATTTGCTTTTCTCTCTCAACCTGCATCTTTCGTCATATCATTCATATTCTAAAATGTTCATTTGTCTTTCTTCGGAAAAGACTGTCTAATGAAGTTATGTGTTGCTTAATCATGTATGTCACATTCTGTAACAATACTACCTACCGGATTTGAGTGTTTAACACATTTTATTTGTTCTAATCATATACACGGATTCATCCAACAAACTAAGTAATATAGAATTTCATGCTGCCACTGTTTTCTTTCCATGTATATATATGTACATATATATGTAATCTAAAATATCTTCAGGACACTTGTCATTACTATTTCAGTGATTCCTCAAGAATTTATGACATGAGGTTTCCTAAGTTTTAGTAGTTCACTTTTGACAAAGACAGGTGACGAAGCAAAATGAATACTGATATGAATTTAGTACACATGAAGGAGCAGAGGCATCAAAATGAGTTCCCTGTCATATCACGGTGTTTCTTGTTATTGTCTTACGAGTACTCAAAATAGTGTTGAAATTTTTGAATTGAAATAGACTTACCATAACCTGGTGATTCTAAATCTGTTTTCAGAAACAATGATGATAATATTATTAAAATCAATCAAACAAAACTTAATAGTCGTTTCATTTTCTTTGTCATGAAATCGAACTAATTACTCACACGTGTTAGTTCTTTTTTCATTTTTAAAATGGCAGTATTCGAGATATTTCCAATGCATTCAAACCTTCAGTTCTAGTCTTCCCTGATGCTGCAATATATTGTGATACTGTGTAGTCAAAAATACTCCTTTTCTGTCGAATACTTCGGCATGTGTTCTCCGTCTAATCAGCTTATTCTACTAAAACAGCTGTAATTTTAACTTCTGATGGTTCACCTATTTCACCTTAAGATTAACCTGAAACACTCCACTACATTGTGAAGCTCATCACTATGCATTCTTTGAAGAAATGAGGTTAACTCAATGTAACGACTTCTGAATATCAATCACAAACGATTAAAATGACGACAAATACAAAATTATTATGTGAATGTTGGCAAGGACGATTGGTTTCTGCAGAGCGTGAGCTCAGCATGTTTGTTTAAAGTAGCTCTTAACTTATTTGAAGCTGACGAAAATGTGAAAACTAATGTGACGTTATAAAAATACACTCGGCATATACATAGAAAATTGAATATTTTGTATGTTTACAATAAATAGAGCTACATTTCCACCCAGTTACGCATATTCTCATATAATTAAAACGTTACGATCAAGACAGATTCGTAAATCATTACACTGTATCCCATCATGCATAGTCACTTACGAATTCTGCTAAGTCGGTCAACTTTTCAAAAAGAATAGAATGTAAAACATTCACAATGATAATCGAATATTTTGCGAAAAGTTGAACCTATTTTCTTATCATAAATCTGTCATATATATTCAATGGATAATAGTCTTATCATGAATTGAAGTGCAGTTATTGTTATTTTTCTAGTTAAATGCTCCTATCGAAGACAAAATTCCTAACTTCAGAGATTTTTGATGGTACACTCGGTAGTATTTTGTGCCATGCATCTGCCCCTCAGTCATAGTGCAAAATAAATTCTGTCAGGGGAGTTTGTAATGTGGCCACCTTGCTAGGCTGCTTGCTAATGAAGGAAAAGGCACGTGACTCTGAATAGTATTTACAGTCTACTGAAAGAGACCATTAATGTCCCCCAGAGTATGTTGCGAGCTCAAATAGCTCAGTGAAGACGTCACTAACTGTAGCCTTAGAAGAACCAGGTTCGGATCTCATATGGGACACGAGTGTTTACAAGACTGTGGATACAGCTTGCTGATGACAGCCAACATGCACATAACCTACTTCCAATGCTCCATGCCAATTGCTTTCAACCATCTGACATCAAATGGCGAGTATTAAACTCACATCCAACTTCTGAACCTTTCTCGACGAAAGAATTCTATCGTTAATTAAAAACATGAGTATCAATCTCTGGCCATCAGTGCTTCCATGTTCAGGTGAACTTCCAGTATTGTAAAATGTGCAGATATTCGAGGTTGATGGGCACAATTAAATAATTTGTCTGTGTTTGTTTCATCTTTTAGAACTACTAAGCCACTTCTACATCTGCTTTGATTTCTGCTTCACTCCAATGGAAGTGAAATACAGTTGATGCACTTAGGTTGGACTACTCAGCAGAAGTCATTGTTTGTAAAATGACAGTAAGGTGCACGCCAGATTATGTGTAGCATTATGTACACTGAACTTTTCTTTTACTGAATACAACTAACAGTAATAGTAGCCTCAAAATTATTCCTTTATTAGTGTTCTTGAAACAAATTTGCATACGTATCATTTCATTTTCCAATGGTTTTCTCCTTACTGGTACATCAAACTCTTTTGATGTGCATTATATTGTGCAACTGCCTACCAGTCTATTCACAACTTTCTGAACCGCCATATTTATTTCCAAGTCAACATTCTCACGATTATTTCATCGCGTTGAATGCTGCGTTAATTATCAACACTTTGGAGTAGAATGAAACGTAAATTCCTGTTTGCATAACCGTATTGAAAACCATCAATTCTTAATGTTCACAAAATGACACACTTGTGATAACTTACAAAGTACATTAATTGATGCCTCTTTATTAAAAAAACAAATAAATATACGGATAAAATGATTTACGTAATGATCATTATGTGTATTCATTCCAAGATAATCTTATCTAAATAGTGTGTAAAATGAAAGATTATTCAAGTTCTATTCACTGTGCTCGTAATTAAAATCTGATGACTGAAACAGGAGCCTGTTCCGCAGTTAAGTGATGCCTAAATGTCACCTGGAAGGCGAGGATAACTTCTTCCACTATGTAAATGTATATATTCTTCATGAAATCACACTAGCTCATTGAGATATACTCTGACATGGTTGCAAGGTATATTTGCACGCATGCTACGATCATTGACTTTGGATTAAGATGATTTGTTAACCAGCAGGATGATTGGAAAATGTCTTCCAACTGAGCTCATCAACTGAAAAACGGAATCTGTGCTATATGATTAATTGATGAACATGAAATAAGGTATTCCTATGACATTAAGCTGAGCAGTCTCTTATGGTTTGCAGGGATCTTGATCGTGTGTTTCTCTGTGGTAACACTTATGTCCAACAGTATTTATTTCTTCATATTCAAGACACCACTACTCATCGTACAATTACTGAACTCACCATTATCACGAATACGTTGAGCTACAAGTAAAACAAAACAAATGTTTACAATTCATTATAGTTTATAATATAAAATATAAATTTGAATGTGAAATGATGAACATACAATAATCGACATGTCTGTTGCCTGACTCACCTTTTTTCTGATCCTCATTATTTTCTATGCATAAGATGCTTCGAAGTTCTCATGTCTTCACTGGTATGCATCGAAGAAAGTTCATTGTCATAAAAGATGACACTGACATGATTATAGGTAGTAATTTGTGTTGAAAAGGTCATCCAGCTAATACTGCATCACTGTGCGTTGTCTCAGATAAATTTATCTAATATGGAACACTGATTTCGACTTCGATGTTTGTGTCTCTTTAATTAACTAACCATTTTTCTGACAGAGGGTGTACATACCAGTATGATTATTCATCTACGATTTGCTATATACTCTACAAATATTCCCGTCATTTTTTTCAGCGTAAGTCACGCAACTGATTTATCAGTTATCATGTCTCCAAATGAGTCAGTTGTTAGGTACGCAAAATTGTGGAGCAATATCAAATTCTTCTAATCGGAAGTGAGCATAATACATTACATATATCTCGTAAAATTATGAATGATTTTTCATACTCACCATTTGCTTTGCAGCATGCATCTGAAAGAAATAATAATCATATAAAAGTTAAATGAGTTCATAACCAAACACCTCGAAGGAAACCAGGTATTGTAACGTGAGAAATTTTAATGCAAACATGAAGGAAAACAAAAATGGCTTGCATTCTTATCTTATCTAAACAATCTACTGGTATGAAGAAATCTGGTGTATTCTCCTTTATCCCCCAAGTGATGTATCACTAAATGAATTTCCATTTGAATCTCTTCTGTCAAAGTTACACTAATATCTTCATTCACCCCAAACTTCACCGTTTACTGTACATGTACAAACATGCTTTACAAATATCACAACCTTATTCAGCAATATATATGAACACATCGTTGATTTTTTCTGATTGACTCAGGAATCCCTATATCCCATTAAAAACTAGAGCATGAATATTCTTAAAATAATCAGGCCAACTTTGGAAACTTACCTAATAAACTGATGTTATGCTCTGTGAAATGAAAAATGGTATAACAAAATGAATATCAAATATTTTACTGATTATTTATTTTTCTATGAAATAGATGGTGAATTCATCAGTTCACATAAATATCTCAAAGAATGAGCTAGCGAATAGTTCTTAGTTCCACAATATATCGACGATGAACGTGAGGAACAATGAAAGTAAACGTAGTTCTCCAAATTACCATTTCTTAACATTCTTGCGTCATTTGATGTGATTTTCGGTGAACTGTCGCATCGAGCTTGACCATAATGCGAGATCCCAGTTGTACCACATAAACAATATACTTTTGTGTTTATAAATAGTAAATCATCAGTGAGACGGTTTCGTTGTTTCTTATTCATTTAAAATTATTTTTCATTTTGGTTTGTTTTTTTTTGTCGAATATCCAAATGTAGTCTGTTGAATGAAATTCGACTTGTAAAATTGCGTTGAGCAGAACTCAGACTAAGAACCTGTTAAAAATCCGATGGATTTCTTCGGTTAACAAAAATACGTGGTCCCTGTATTATTTTCTCTCTGGGAAAGCAGGCTTTCAAGAGAAAACGTCACTTGGACAATAACAGTGGTATCACATTAATACCAGTGAATTTCTCCATTATGTGAACTCATTCTGATATCAATCCATTTACACGGAGTTAAACTCACGAATGTAGAAAAAAGCAGACTATGACTGTTTATTGGTAGAGTGGTCGCCAACTACGCACATGGCCAATGCACTCTGATTCCCTGCCTAGTTTTAAGGCTTACAGTGAGCCTGAAAAAAAACGGCAGGTTAGCAGTGAAACTCGCAAACACACTTCATTAGGAAAAAATCACAACAGCTACTTAAACCTACTCTTAGAGCATAGCAATGCGTGAGTCAGTGAGTAATGGGCTCTCAATTCAGTCAGTTTGTTTCACTAGAAAAGTGCACTTAGAACGAAATGTGGTGTATGAACACTGATATCGTCAGGGATACTGAGGTTTATACCCTTTAGCTTACACTCACAGAAATGTATTTCTGAAGTTAGCATTTCTCTCTAAACAAAGTGTATTTACATCAGCATATGTGTGTACTAAGTTCTAACATTCCATATTTACGCTCGTTATGAGTTAGAAAGTTAACCATTCTTAAAACGGTCACAGGCAGCATAAAGTCTTACTATTATCAGATGATAATTATTTAGACTACTCGTAGTGACAAATGAAAAGAATCAATTTATTCATGAAAGTGCTTCAAATTCTCTGGAACCTGCAAGAAATAGCCAACATTCTAAGGTAACATTGCGGACATTCCATATCTTAAGCACGACTAAGCGCATGCTGAACACAAATGAAGTTTTATGCAGTGTGCAGTGTTATAAACGTTAATGAATAATTCAGTTGTCGTTTCATAAATATTGCAGTTTTATTTGAATCTTACCATTGTTTAAGACTACTTCCTCTGTTCACAAAGTAAAATAAAACAGGAATCAGAATTAAATATTGTGCATTTTGCATTGACTAGTAAATTTCTTAGCTTCACTATTAAGAGAATGTCGTGCGAATTTGATTATGTCACAAGAATTACCACTGATTATATGAATTCGACTTAGATGATGTCCTAGTTAGCAGTTCAGTCTCATAAAATATAAAACGTTTCAGTAAAGACAGTTGATTCTAATCCGTTTAGCGCTAAAGTATTCTCTGTATTCTGTGCATTGGAAAACAAAATTGTTAGGCTAATTAGTAGGAAAATGTTGTATAACTTTCGTCAGAGTACGAACACCATTACCAGTGGTACTGATTCTACTTGGGCGATGATGACGTAAGCGGTCCAGCCTCATATCCCAGACAATATACCGCCAAACAGGCTATTGGTTCAGTCAGCTTTTGTCACTATGAGTAACAACACCAATCCTGGTGTTGGTGCATGCTGTCTAACTAACAATCCATGGTGTTAACATGAAATAAGACAAATGTTTTCATTTAGCTACGTGATCTGCACATGTAGCCTAAAGGAAAGTAAATTTATTTAGACTGCATTTATTTGCGTTTTCACTTCATCAATAGATCATCCACTAAGTAATATCATTTACATTTCCGCTTCAAAATGACCAAACACGAAGACGACTATTTCTACAAACCTTTATCTAATTCAAGAATGGTCATTTAATGCTTATCTGGTTTGCATATTATGAGCAAATTTTCTGTACATTTTGTCATGCTCAACTTACGTAGTTGTTCAATAGCAGCCTCTATCAAATTAAACAAAAATAGACGCTTTTATAAATAATCTGTGATAATATGTGTACTTCATGGTAATTAGTAAGGAACTGATTGTTACATAAATACAGTTGATTATTCTCTCATTGGTTGTCCAACATTAAAAGCTACGTTGAGTGTAATGCATGAGAACACTGATGTTGAGCTGTTGACCAGGGATGTAATCTTCACACTTTCGCACATAGTAAGAGTATCGCTATACTTAAATAAGACTAACCGTCGTGACTACTATTTGAAATTTCCATACAAACGCAATATAAAAGGCATACAAGCAAACGCTTCAGTGTGATTTGCATTGGAGTTGGATATTAGTGTGAAGAGAAAGACCACAAAATAACCACAGCCACTGCAGATTAAAATGATGAATACCAGAACGATTTCATCTTGTATCAAATGGCGAAATATTACCATGTCTCAGAATTCTTAATATAAAAATACTACTTCACTCAGTAACACATGTATTCTTCTGACTGTCCCGATAAACATCTAATAAACAGAAGTAATCCTGACTTACTTATATGAGGAGCTGTAAAAAAGCATTAAAAGACATGTTGAACTGTTAATTTGAAGTCTGATAATGAAAATTTATTTCACTATTTTGCTAAATTACTGTATGTGCAAATGATTGAACATTTGTGACTGATCATTCAATGATGTAACAAAACAGTGAGTCTGGAAGACAGTCGACTAATTATAGAAATGTCTACTTTTTAATCAGATTCAAAAATAAAGACTATCAAGTGAGCATTATTTTCACCCAGTTCGCTGTCTTTTAGGTCTTCAAAATGTGATTGCCATATTCCTAAATGAGTGAATGATCATATTTGTATTCCATTGTGGTGTTAACATGACTTCTCATAAAAGCACAAGTTTGAAGCATGGATAGCGGTTAAACACTGGACAGTATATTGTTGTCAGTATTTTAATCCACTAGTGGTGTTATTTCATACATTAACACTCTGAACACTTTCACACACACACAGGATTGTAGTCTAGATATTCTGGATGTGATAGGAATCAATCCGAAATTCTACTGTGGAAAGAAATCCTGTGATACTCGAAACTAACAATAATTAGTCACGATTTATAACCATTTTGGAAATGATTGCCTTTCTACTTCTGGCGTTCACCGATTCAAATTCAGTCTGACTGGTGATATGCAAGTAAATGATGATTATATGCAACCACTTCATGAAAGTCTGAATGAGTAATTGGAAGGAATATATATGTGTATATATGTAGATGACTATTGAATCATTAGTGAGGATGAAAGGGCCCTTAGTTAAGAACATGAGTGACCGATTCCTTGTAATGGCATTCCGTGGATGAAGTGAGTTTGTACTGAAAATTACCTACATAAATTGAACTTGAACTGCTCAAACTCATTGATGTTGTATCATACCAACAACATCTTATTGTCATTATTCACTGTGAATGAAATATGGGAAACTAAGTTTATTAATAATAAATGATCAAGAAATCATTTGACTGGTGACTTACTGTTATGCCAACATTCTGTGGGATAAAACAATTAAAGGAAAATGTAATTCCTAGAACCTATCAAAACTAATCGAAATCGATGCTGAAATTAACATAGCATGAAATCATCAATCACTGCCAAACAATAACCGCTAATGCATTCACAGCAAATTAACTTTTAATATCGAGGTTGGGGAAAACTACAATATTTTCCCAAATGTTTGATGCATTGAGTGAGTATGTAATGTAGTCAACCATTATGACACAATGTTTTGCAAAACCATAAACCTTTCAAACTATCTGTTCACCTACTTAGCTTATGTGTCCGATGTTCACCGTGGCATGTGAGAGTGACTGTGCAGATAAACAAATGCTGATCTTTGTTTGACAACTGAAATTTTCTCATAACAAAGAGGGGAAACTCTTCATCTCCTGAGAACAACATCTCAACTCATTCGTTCGTAAACCATTGAAACCGAGTGCACAATGATCTACGAATACTCAAAATGGAAAAAAATGTTATTTCGATGCGCTGCCATGGAATTTTGACCTATGTCAGAGATGGATAATGAGAGGGAACATTATGTACAAAATAAAAATCGGGTGATATTTCCTGTAAAAATTTGCAATGTCTCAAAGTTCAACGAAATAAAAATCCAAACTCATAAATTGTTAAGCCGAAAAATGAACGGTGGTCATATCATTGTCGCTGTACCAATCGCTGATTTCCGAAAGTGAAAGGTTAAATTCAGTTTAGTGTATATGAAGTCTTGAAAACGTTGGCTATCAGTAAATCGATATTTCAGAAATGCCACCCTCTATTTTGTCTAGCGTCACATCTAAGAAGTAAAATGCTGAATTTGACTCTACTTCGAAAGTGCAAAGTATAGATGGGTGGGAACCGTTAGATTTTCCAAGAACCTCAGATTTTCAATTATCTATTTTCGACTTCTCAAGGTTCAACGAAATGAGAATATCCATCTACACAATGGTGAACCGACCGAATTAAAGAACAAAATACAAAGTCACAGATTTTATGTGACTGTATAAATGGCTAGCATTCATAAAAAAGGTGCATCACAGTATGATTAATGCGTTTCTCGCCACATTCAATTTCAACACAAAGATGTATATCCGTTGACAACCAAGACTTACCTGCTTTACTGATGAAGAAAAATACAAAGAGCACATAGACAGCTTGCATTGTGATGTGAAATAGTATTCTTGAGTTTTCTGTGCAAACCACAGTCTCTATTTATACCTTTTCTACTAGCATGTGCTTTCTTCTCGATGTTTTGTTATTTTCATCATAAGCACTCTTCGTGTAATGAGATTCACAGTTGTTCAATTTAAAGACTATTGATGGCTAATAAAAGCACTACTCAAGTGGACATCACTCACTCACTCACTTATAAATATGACACAAAACCTCATGATTAAAACTCACTTGGTTTCATTTACTTAACTGTAGCCATAATCTCACTAGGTGACATTTTGAATACTCTCAATCAAAAATTGTGTTGCATAAGCAATCTTTTATGAAGTAGTTAATAGTGCAGAATAAAATATTTAATTGTCCATGCGAAAATATAACCTATAGGGCTTTAGTTAATGAACA